GTGCAACCTGTCGGCGTCGGATGTACCGAAACATGACATCCCAGAGGCGTTCTATTGGATTTAGGTCAGGTGATCATGGGGGCCATTCAATGGGATCAATTCCTTCATCCTCCAGGAACTGCCTGCATACTCTCCCCACATGAGGCCGGGCATTGTCCTGCACCAGGAGGAACCCAGGACCCACTGCACCAGTGTAGGGTCCAACAATGGGTCCAAGAGATGTTCTATTGGACTTAGGTCAAGTAAGCGAGGGGGCATTCAATGGTGTCAATTCCTTCATCCTCCAGGAACTGCCTGCATACTCTCATCACATGAGGCCTGACATTGTCGTGCACCAGGAGGAACTCTGGACCCACTGCACCAGCGTAGGGTCTGACAATGGGTCCAAGGATTTCATCCCGATACCGAATGGCAGTCAGGGTGCCATTGTCTAGCCTGTAGAGGTCTGTGCGTCCCTCCATGGATATTCCTCCCCAGACCTTCACTGACCCTCCACTGAAACGGTCATACTGAACAATGTTACAGGCAGCAGAACGTTCTCCACAGCTTCTCCAGACCCTTTCATGTCTGTCACATGTGCTCAGGGTGAACCTGCTCTCATCTGTGAAAAGTACAGGGTGCCAGTGGTGGACCTGCCAATTCTGGTGTTCAATGGCAAATGCCAATCGAGCTCTATGGTGCCGGGCAGTGAACACAGGGCCCACTAGAGGATGTCAGGCCCTCAGGCCACCCTCATGAAGTCTGTTTCTGGTTTGTTTGGTCAGAGACATTCACACCAGTGGCCTGCAGGAGGTCATTTTGTAGGGCTCTGGCAGTGCTCATCCTGTTCCTCCTTGCACAAAGGAGCAGATACCGGTCCTGCTGATGGGTTAAGGACCTTCTACGGCCCTGTCCAGCTCTCCTAGAGTAACTGCCTGTCTCCTGGAATCTCCTCCATGCTCTTGAGACTGTGCTGGGAGACGCAGCAAACCTTCTGACAATGGCATGTATTGATGTGCCATCCTGGAGGAGTTGGACTGCCTGTGCAACCTCTGTAGGGTCCAGGTATGGCCTCATGCTACCAGTAGTGACACTGACCCTAGCCAAATGCAAAACTAGTGAAAAACAGAAGATGAGTAGAGAAAAAAATGTCAGTGACCTCCACCTGTAAAACCATTCCTGTTTTGGGGGTTGTCTCATTATTGCCCATCAAGTGCACCTGTTGTTATTGAACACCATAGCAGCTGGAACTGAGTAACAACCCCCTCTGCTACTTAACTGACCAGATCAATATCCCAGGAGTTTGACTTTATGCTAGACTGTGATTAAAAAGTCTTCCTTTAATTTTGTGTGTATATATATATGTGTGTGTTTGTGTATGTGTATATGTGTATGTATGTACAGTTGCAAGAAAAAGTATGTGAACCCCTTGGGATTACGTGGAGTTTTGCATGAATTGGGCATAAAAATGTGCTCTGAACGTCATCTAAGTCACAACAATAGAAGAACACAGTCTGCTGAACATAATACTACACAAACATTAGATGTTGCCATGGTTTAATTGCTCATAACATGTAAACATTCACAGTGCAGGGAGGAAAAAGTATGTGAACCTTTGGACTTAATAACTGGTTGACCCTCCTTTGGCAGCAATAACCTCAACCAAACGTTTCCTGTAGTTGCAGATCAGACCTGCACAGCGATCTGGAGTCATTTTGGACCACTCCTCTTCACAAAACTGTTTCAGTGTAGCAATATTCTTGGGATGTCTGGTGTGAATCGCTCTCTTAAGGTCATGCCACAGCATTTCAATCGGGTTGAGGTCAGGACTCTGACTGGGCCACTCCAGAAGGCGTATTCTGTGCTGTTGCAGCCATTGTTTTGTTGAATTACTTGTGTGCTTTGGGTCATTGTCCTGTTGCATCACCCATCCTCTGCGGAGCTTCAGTTGGCGGACAGATGGTCGTACGTTTTCCTGCAAAATGTCTTGATAAACTCTGGAATTCATTTTCCCATCAATGACAACAATCCGTCCAGGCCCTGAGGCAGCAAAGCAGCCCCAAACCATGATGCTCCCTCCGCCATGTTTTACAGTGGGGATGAAGTTTTGATGTTGGTGTGCTGTGCCTTTTTTTCTCCACACATAGTGTTGTGTGTTCTTCCCAAACAACTCAATCTTGGTTTCATCTGTCCACAGTATATTTTGCCAGTAGTGCTATGGAACATCCAGGTGCTCTTTTGCAAACTTCAAACGTGCTGCAATATTCTTTTTGGACAGCAATGGCTTCCTCCGTGGTGTCCTCCCATGTACTCCATTCTTGTTTAATGTTTTCCTTATTGTAGATGTGTCAACAAAAATCTTAGCATCATGTGCCAGAGATTTCTGTAGGTCTTTAGCTGACACTCTGGGATTCTTCTTTACCTCATGCAGCATTCTGCGCTGTGCTCTTGCAGTCATTTTTACAGGACGACCATGCCTAGGGAGAGTAGCAACAGTGCTAAACTTTCTCCAATTGTAGACAGTCTGTCTTACCGTGGACACATGAACATCAAGGCTTTTGGAGATACTTTTGTAACCCTTTCCAGCTTCATGCAAATCAACAATTCTTGATCGTAGGTCTTCTGAGAGCTCTTTTCTGCGAGGCATGGTTCACATCAGGCAGTGCTTCTTGAAACCAGTAAACCCAAAATAGGTATGTGTTTTTTAAGGGCAGGACCGCTGTCAGCAACACATCCAATATCATCACACTGATTGGAGTCAAGGTTGGCTCATTCCTGGCTCCAATTAGCTCTGGGAGAAGTCATTAAGCTAGGGCCTCACATACTTTTTCCTCCCTGCACTGTGAATGTTTACATGTTATGTGCAATTAAACCATGGCAACATCTAATGTGTGTGTAGTATTATGTTCAGCAGACTGTGTTCTTCTATTGTTGTGACTTAGATGACGTTCAGAGCACATTTTATGCCCAATTCATGCAAAACTCCACGTAATCCCAAGGGGTTCACATACTTTTTCTTGCAACTGTATATGTGTGTGTATATATATATATATATATATATATATATATATATATATATATATATATATATATATATATATATATATATATATATATAATATATATAATTTTTTTTTTTTTTTCACCATACTCCCCCTGATAATACCTTCATCTGATTTTCTCCAGAAGGAAGGAGCCATCTTTGTTCAGGCATCATCCAGAGTCACCATCTACTTCCTGAACTGAGAAAATTCTGGTTCAGAGATGGCACAATCATGGAAATCCTGGTGCCTGTGCAGCTCACAATTGGCTGACACAGACCAGCCTATACTGCATTCTTTCATCTTAGAACTTGTTACAATATACAGTCTGACCGGGATGGGGGGAGACTGAGGGAATGCTTCCTATCCCTGCAGAAGATTTATTGCATCATCTCAGCCTTGGCAAGGTCACTGGACTAGAGCTCAAGGAGGGCTTTTTTGAAAAAACAAGTAGCTGTATATTGTGACATGTCAGGAATTTTTATAAATTTAATGAAAGGTTCAGGTTAACTTCTTCTTTACCTAAATTCTAAAAATCCTTTGACATTAGAAAAGGCAGGAGGGGGCTAATGTCATTCACAGAGCACGGTGCCTCCACCTCGTTGGGGCGTCCATAGATGAGCAGATATCTCACCGACAACAATGAGGAAGGAGATATTTTCCGGAGTTGTCATAGAGCCGGGACCAGCTGTATCTGATGGCTGCAGTAGATATTTTGCTGCTTCTTAGGATGTGGCACACTTACCAGGAGATTCAGTCTTGCTGGAATAACGAGCCCCTCAGTCTGCAGGGGGCGCTCATTATCTCCTCCTAGGACACAATTATGTGGAAGGATGCTTGAATTAGGGAGCATTGCGATCTCCCATAGGGCAGCTTTTGGCCACTCTTAGTTATCCTCAAATCTGACATTTCGTCCCGCAGTGAATGTAACTGTCAGGTGTACGTATGCTCAGCGACATTCAAGAGACCAGACGTGCTATACTGGGGGGGAGGGGGAGCCGCATGGCTGACACTCCATAGAGAGGAATTGGTGAAAAGCCTGTGTGTGGATTATTAGGTCAGCTGAATGCAGGATCCCAGGTAAGCTGCGGAAATATCAAATCGGTAATAAGGGGACCAATAGGGGAAGCGGTGAACATAAATGAAGAATGTGATGACAGTATATCCGTAATTACATTGTGAATTTATATTGTACAGTATTAATCAAAGAAAACTTATTCCAGGGCCACCTGGAAATCAAAGGGCCCCGTACAGTCTGTAACGGGGCCCTCTCCCCTCAACCATACAGGAGTTAGGCAAGGCTTCCGTGACGCAATTTTCTTTCATGCAACCACAGGCTATAAGAAAGAAAATCGCATGATTTCCCCCATCAATACAGTCAGTGATGGGGGAATGCCTCCCACAGAGTTATTGTGTTCTGCTGGCGGGAAACCTTCCCTTCTAGCAGAACACAATGATTACTGCTGGCGCTATAGCTGCATGCAGCAATTGCTTGCAAAAAATCCAACAGGTTGGTTCTACTGAAGTCGATTTGATGGATCAACTTCAGTACAACCAGCCTGCCGTAGATGGATTGAATCTTGGCCAGTCCCTGCTGAACCAGCCAAGATTCGGTCCACCTATGGCCGGCTTACCATCAACATTCTGAACAGAGAGGAGATTTATAGTGACCTCATCAGATTCCAAGCTGTCCTTCCTCACTCAGCTCTCAGTAGCCCTTGGGCTAGGTTCACACCTATGCAGTTTGCATTTGACCCGTTTCTGCATTGCGTTTTAACCACAAGCCCTACCCCCTTATACCCCCTTCCTGCCAGGCCAATTTCTATTTCAGCGCTGTCACACTTTGACATGAAATTTTTTATCATTTTTTTGAGACAGAGCTTTATTTTGGTGGTATTTAATCAACTCGGGGTTTTTTATTTTTTCTTAAACCAAAAACCACTGAAAATGTTGAAGAAAAATTTTTTTTCTTAGTTTTTGTTATAAAATTTTGTAAATAAGTGATTTTTCTCCTTCACTGATGTGTGCTAATGAGGCTGCACTGATGGGCACTGATGAGGAGGCACTGGTAGGTGGCACTGATGGGCATTGACAGGCATCATTGATGGGCACTGAAAGGCAACACTGATATATGGCACTTTTTAGGTGGCACTGACTGGCACTGATAGGGGGCACTGAAAGGCAGCTCAGATGGGCACTTATGTGGCATTGATGTGCACTGATAGGCACTGATATGTGACATTGATGTGCACTGGTAGGCACTGATATGACTTTGATGTGCACTGATATGTGGCACTGAGAGCTGGCACTGATGGACACTGACAGCTGGCACTGCTGGGGCTACACTGAATCATCAGGGCACACTGATCATCAGTGCCCTGATGATCAGTGTACATGTCCCCTCCGCGGAATGCCGATTACTGACTCTCCTCTCCTCTGTCAGCGTGACAGCTCGAGAGGAGAGAAATGCCGATAACCGGCATTTCCCTGTTTACATGTGATCAGCTGTGATTGGACACAGCTGATCACATGACCGAGCTGACATCTTCAGCTCTTTCCGTGGATCGGTAATCCGCTGTGTCCTAGGGACACAGAGCACTGCCGATTGCTGCGCATGCGCGGTGAGAATGGGAGGACGTCATATGACGTCCTCCCAGAATGAGAGAACCACCTTGCACCCGTCGTTGGACTATATGGCGGGCGGGAGGTGGTTACGTTTGTTGCCCCTTTGTTTTTGACTTTTTTTTTTTTTTTTTATGCCCTTTTGCAGATTTTTTTTTTTTTTTTTCTTGTTGCTAGGCAGATTCAAAATGCAGCAAAATCGCAATACATGTGTTTCTGCAGCGTTTCCATTGAAGTCTATAGAACCAAAAACACAACTTTTTGCGTTCAAAAAAGTGCGACCCTTTCCAAAGAAACACACCGGGGTGAAAATGCAGAGATGTAAACGTGTCCCATAGGAAATCATGGTAAATGGACTTGTGCGTTTCTGCAAAATGCTACGGAAAATGCTTAGGTGTGAACTGAGGGTTACTGCTCCTGATCCAGCTTCTCCTCACCTGTAATCAGTGGGGTAAGAACAGGACTGCCGTCACCAAACCTCCCCTGCCTGAGCTCTCATCCTCCTTCCAAGCCATTCCTGGACCCCCTGCTAACCTGATGGACCCGCCTCTGGAATACTGCCTGCTATCGGCAGTCTGGACTTAAAGTCCAAATGAAGTCTTGCAGCTTTTTTTTTCTATATAGTCATGTACTGCTGGAAGTTAAAGCTAAAATCCAGGCAAAAAAATTAATTTGAAAATATTCCTCAATAGTCAAAGGACATACATCCACTTTTTTCCCCCCAAATGTCTTCACAAACCCAGTTTGTTACCTGTAAAAGTAACAATGACCCCATCACTGTGCTGTACATAGCCTACCTGAGAGCAGAGCTGTGGGAGGGCCCAGCAGGCTCCACCCACTACAGGCAACCTGTGGAATATTACAGGAAGGGGGGTGGAGACAAGACCAGTCACCCTGCGCTAGAGAGAGTGAGAAGCAGTGACCGGTCTTTATCGGAAACTCCTCTGAAATTATTCGAAGGGTCAAGCCCAAAAATATTTTTCGTATGATACCAGTTTGTACGATTTTCGTTTTAACAAGTACAGTTTTCATCCGGAAAAAAAAAAAATGGAAGAGCAAGACCACGCATGCTCAGAAACGAAAGAATATATTACAATGCAATAGAACACATGACATCACTTCTGAAGTTGTATTCTACTAGAATTTATGTAACTTTAGTAAAACTCTTCATTTTTGATATGAAACTAGCAAACAAAAAAATGGACGATCGTTCGTCCGGAATCCTCAGTGTGTACCAGACTAAATGCAGGCCATAGACGGGTCGTTTATCGGCTGAATTTTTGTCCGCACGATAAATCACCCGATATTCACGCGTTAGTGGGGCCAGCCCGTCGGCCGTTTTTCGCGGATCTTCTCATTTGTTTTTTCGTGGATTTTCCAGCATGACCGATAAAAACAGCCGTTTTTTTTTTTGTGGACATTGGTGGCAGCATCAGCAACGGGGCTGACCGATTTTTTTTTTCGTTTATTGGCCGATAAACGGCCCGTCTATGGCCAGCCTTACTCTCAGATCTCCATATCATAAAGGCTAATCATTCTGTAGTCCAAGATAATTTATCCACTTCAGCCCCAAGACATTTCTGGCACATTTTGTTTTACATTTTAAAATCTGTATTTTTTTGGTAGAAAAATCTCTTGAGACCCAAAGAGGGGGGCAGAGGCCCTGGAGAATAAATTGTTGTTTTCTACATAACCCAATTTTTTATAAAATATAAAAGATGTTAGATCGAGTAAATGGATACCAAGCATGTCATGCTATAAAATTGAGCACACCTGTATAACAGTGACAAACGACAACAATTTTACTATCCATAGGCAATGCTTTAAAAGCCTTTACAGGTTACACCTTAGATTTGCA